GTGCCAACTGTAAAGTTTGGTGGAGGAGGAATAATGGTCTGGGGCTGTTTTTCATGGTTCGGGCTAGGCTCCTTAGTTCCAGTGAACGGAAATCTTAACGTTACAGCATACAATGACATTCTAGATGATTCTGTGCTTCCAACTTTGTGGCAACAGTTTGGGGAAGTCCCTTTCCTGTTTCAGCATGACATTGCCCCCATGCACAAAGCGAGGTCTATACAGAAATGGTTTCAAATAACCAACTCATCATCAAGCTTTGATTATTGGAAGCAGCTGTATAGTGCTTGGGCAAAAAACAAAACGTGCACCCAGGGGGTGGGGGCTCCAGGACCGAGTTTGGGAAACCCTGCATTAGGCGACAAATGTCAGAAAGCGGTCTAAAACAGGTAGAGACTAGGAGACTTGTCCAGTAAGAAACACATTTTCGCTTTACGTTGCAAAACCTTTTAAAATGTATTCCGTTGCGTGCCCTATTTTTTCTCTATCATTAAAATTGCTATGGACAACTTTAAATAAAGTTTGAATTGATTTTGATATGCTTTACCTGTGCCGTCTCTATTTTTGCTGTCTGTGACAGAGGGAGAAGCAGGAGGGGGAGAAAGTGCGGGTGGAGGCACATCTGTTGGAGTTTGTCTGAGTCCGACAGAACCATAAAGAAGATCAAGGCATTCCACAAGGCCACAAACTCTTGAGTTAGTTTTGTAGACAGGCTCGGAATAGACTGACACAGAATAGACTGTTGTAATGTATGATGCCTGGGAAAGGACATGAATCAGCATTGGCTCTCTCCCAACTTTTCCAAAATGGCTTCCTTCCACTTCCACAGTCCCACACATTGACAATACTGTGTTTGTGTGCAGAGACTAGTCAGAAACTCATACAACATCACTGGTACGATTTGAAGGCATAAGGATATCGTGAACTTGGAAATAATTTAAACAGAGGACAAACATCGCCAAATATTCACATTGAACTAGCTGTGGGTGAATGAAAAAACTATATTGCTGTTCAATGGGTAAGTTGACCCAGAACATATCAGTTTTTCTGCCGGAATCACTGAATCACTGGACCTTTAACTCCGGATTCATCGCTACCAGCTAGCTGCAACAAAATGGACGTTGTGGTTTGGCTAATCATCCTGAGCTAGGCCCATCTCCCGGCTATCTACCTCTCTGTCAACCGGACGGGACCACCTAGTGTTGACACGGAGCCCCGCCGATCCTACACGACTGGTCTGCCGACGAAATCGTCTGATGTGGTTACAACAGGCTTCCCGGTACGACGTCGACCACGAAGATTCCATCTGCTAGCCCCGGCCCGCTAGCACACGCTAGCCGTGGCCTCTTGCTCGCTAGTGCTTTAGCAGCCCCCGAACTACCTCCGAACTATCCTATTGCTGTTCACCGGACCTTATGATAACTCAGCTATACAGCTGATGCCTGCTGGACTGTTCCTTTTTACGGTACCGCATCCTGTTTATGTTTAGCCTCAGCCCAAACTGTGTCGTCATTACCAGCTGTTGTCTTAGCTCTCTCAAATTACACCTGTGATTGCTTTATGCCTCTCTCCCATGTCAATATGGTTTGCTTATTGCTGTTTTGGTTATTTCTAATTGTACTATTTCACTGTAGATCCCCCAGCCCAGCTAAACCTGCCTTAGATAGCTCCTTTGTCCCACCCCCATACACGCGGAGACCGACTCAATCGGTGCCTCCAGTGATGCTATCTCTTTCATTGTTACCCAATGCTTAGGTTTACCTCCACTTTACTCATATCCTTCCATATCCTTGTCTGTACATAATGCCCTGAATCTTTTCTACAATGCCCGGAAATCTGCCCCCTTTATTCTATATACCCAACGCACTAGAAGACCAGTTCTTAAAGCCTTTAGCCGTATCCTTATTCTAGTCCTCCTCTGTTCCTCTGGTGATGTAGAGGCTAACCCAGGCCCTGCAGCCCTCAGTATCACTCCTACTTCCTAAGTTTGAGTTATTCACTGCGTTAGCACACTCCGCCAACCCTGATGTTCTAGCAGTGTCTGAATCCTGGCTTAGGAAGGCCACCAAAAATTCTGATATTTCCATCCCCAACTATAACATTTTTCGTCTAGATAGAACTACCAAAGGGGGTGGAGTTGCAATCTACTGTAGAGAGAGCCTGCAGAGCTCTATCATACTATCCAGGTCTGTGGCCAAACAGTTTGAGCTTCTACTTCTAAAAATCCACCTTTCCAGAAATAAGTCTCTCACTGTTGCCGCTTGCTACAGCCCCCCCTCAGCCCCCAGCTGTGCCCTGGACACCATATGTGAATTGATTGCCCCCCATTTATCCTCAGAGTTCATACTACTTGGTGACTTAAATTGCGATATGCTTAACACCCCGGCCATCCGGTGGTCCTCTGTAGCTCAGCTGGTAGAGCACGGCGCTTGTAACGCCAAGGTAGTGGGTTCGATCCCCGGGACCACCCATACACAAAAATGTATGCACGCATGACTGTAAGTCGCTTTGGATAAAAGCGTCTGCTAAATGGCATATTATTATTATTATTATCCTACAATCCAAACTAGATGCCCTCAATCTCACACAAATTATCAACGAACCTACCAGGTACAACCCCAAATCTGTAAACATGGGTACCCTCATAGATATCATCCTGACTAACTTACCCTCTAAATACACCTCCGCTGTCTTCAACCAGGATCTCAGCGATCACTGCCTTATTGCCTGCGTCCGTAACGGGTCCGCGGTCAAACGACCACCCCTCATCACTGTCAAACGCTCCCTAAAACACTTTAACGAGCAGGCCTTCCTAATTGACCTGGCCCAGGTATCCTGGATGGATATAGATCTCATTCCGTCAGTAGAGGATGCCTGGTTGTTCTTTAAAAATAATTTCCTCTCAATCTTAAATAAACATGCCCCATTCAAAAAATACAGTACTAAGAACAGATATAGCCCCTGGTTCTCCTCAGACTTGACTGCCCTCGACCAGCACAAAAACATCCTGTGGCGTACTGCATTAGCATCAAATAGCCCCCGCGATATGCAACTTTTCAGGGAAGTCAGGAAAGCAAAGGCTAACTTTTTCAAACAGAAATTTGCATCCTGTAGCACTAACTCCAAAAAGTTTTGGGACACTGTAAAGTCCATGGAGAATAAGAGCACTTCCTCCCAGCTGCCCACTGCAACTGAGGCTAGGAAACCACTATCACCACCGAGAAATCTACAATAATCGAGAATTTCAACAAGCATTTTGCTACGGCTGGCCATGCTTTCCACCTGGCTACCACTACCCCGGCCACCAACTCTAAGAATCAACATTAAGAATCTCCAATCCAAAGTTAAATCTAGAATCGGCTTCCTATTTCGCAACAAAGCCTCCATTCACTCATGCGGCCAAACATGCCCTCGTAAAACTGACCTAGCCTGACCGATCACCTTGACTGCGGCGATGTCATTTACAAAAATAGCCGCCACACTCTACTCAGCAAATTGGATGTAGTCTATTCACAGTGCCATCCGTTTGGCGCCAAAAGCCCCCATACACTAACCCAACCATGTAGACCTGTAACGCTCGTGTTTGGCTGGTCCTCACTACATGTTTCGTCGTCAAACCCCACATGCTCCAGGCCATCTATAAATCCACTGCTTAGGGGCAAATCCCCGGCCTTATCTTAGATCATTGGCCAACCATAGCAGCACCCACCCGTAGTCTGCGCTCCAGCAGGTATATCTCACTGGTCATCCCCAAAGCCAACACCTCCTTTGGCCGCCATTCCTTCCAGTTCTCTGCTGCCAATGACTGGAACGAATTGCAAAAATCTCTGAAGCTGGAGACTCTTATCTCCCTTACTAACTTTAAGCATCAGTTGTCAGAGCACCTTACCGATCACTGCACCTGTACACAGCCCATCTGAAATTAGCCCACCCAACTACCTCATCCCTATATTGTTATTTATTTTGCTCTTTTGCACCCCAGGATCTCTATTTGCACATAATCTCTTGCACATCTAGCATTCCAGTGTTAATACTGTAACGACCCGGTATTGTGTTCTGTGTTCGTGGGTGTGTTATCGTTCTCATGGGTGCTAGCAGGGGTTAAATATGCCAGGACAGATGGAAAGGTTGGGGGGGTATGATGGGTAATCCCGCGGGGTTTTGGAATGCTTAAATAGGGGTTACGGTCTCATCTCTCTCTCTTCTGTTTTGGGACCCTTGACTTGACATGTTATATTTGTGTATGTTCGAGGTTTAGCGGCGTGGGCTGTGGCCTGAACAATAGCACATTCAGGAATAAACCTGTGTTCTGCCTGTACACCTGGTGCCAGTCTCTCTTTTACTTTATGACCCAGCTGGGTCATTACAATACTAATTGTAATTATTTTGCACTATAGCCTATTTATTGCCTTACCTCCATAACTTGCTACATTTGCACACACTGTATACATATTTTCTGTTGTATTTTTTGACTTAATGTTTTTTTACCCCATGTGTAACTCTGTGTTGTTTTTATCGCACTGCTTTGCTTTATCTTGGCCAGGTCGCAGTTGTAAATGAGATCTATGGTTGCAATGTTTGGACTCTGGACACTATTCAGTCAATTGCGGAAATAAAAGGGTACTTTAGAATGGAGGCAAACAAAGTATAAAGAAGGCACACTTGTAGATATTGTCCTTTTGAGTTTGATTATGTATACAATCACTTTATATTTTTATTTTGCTGTGGCGCTCAAATTAGCAATTGTGAGTTTAGGCAAGTGTCTCTGTCTCTCTTTCAATCAGATTGTGAGGGATAATGGGGTTGTTAGCTTTTTTCCATGTCATACGAATGAAAATAGTTGGTTTAAATAACTTGACAAAGGGGGGAGAGGGGGGGATGCTGAGGTTGAGAGGTTCATTGGTTTAGCCTACTACTACAGTCCACATTTGAATAAAAGGGGTTGGCTTTTATTTTGTAATCATCCCTGCTCTCACATGACCGAGCTAGTGAAGCACGTGACCCTTTGTCGCAACAAGCAGTCATATGATGAACACTTTAAACATCCTCCTCTTGAAGTAAACGTTTTTTTTTATTGTCTGTAAACTGTGTTGCTACAAGGTTGCGTTCTCGTCTAAAACGGCATATCTCGGCATTTATCGAATGAGGCTCCGTTGCAAGAGTGAACATCTAAAACTACGTTTGGGGAAAAGGTAACTAAGCGCAGCGCTTTCAAATAGGGTACTTCTCTATAGAGCAGGAGTGGGCAGAAGTGTATAGGCTACGTTGCGCTCGTCTATCTCTATCTATTAGAAAGTGCATAGTACATTGATATGTCTTAACTTGTCGCTTGTTCAAAAATAGGATTAACAGCATAGCCATAAACCATCATTATGCTTTCCTGAACTGATCCTGCAAGAATAGTCTTTAGGATATCTGAATAACGGCATTCACATTACAGTATTATACAAACGTGTAGACCTAAGACCTATCCATTTTCATCTGGCTTTATGGTCGATTCAGTCTTGTTTTTGGAAGGGGCGATGTCGATCGAGAAGTTGCAGCAGTATCGAGAGCAGATGCGCACAGAGCTGGACAAAGTGGTGGACTTCTGGCAGAAATATTCTCATGACACACAATATGGGTAAAACCATTTGATCAGATATTCACAAATATTTGTGGAAGTTATTGATGCAATTTGTTGTTATTTGAACATTTTCTTTATAATAATTTATTTTGACAAAAATAAAAAGTATAGCCTAGTCTAGAAGTATGCTAGTATGTATGTCATGTCTGTGAGATGAGATCAGTTGACCATGTTAAACAATGTATTTTTCCAGTGGGTTTTTCACTTGTATTGGGAAAGATGGAAAAATCTACGACGAGCTGAAATATGTCTGGTTGCAGGGGAGACAGGTAAACTCATCCACAAATGTTCAGTGATTGTCTTACCACTCAACACCAAACAGCCAGACCAATGCAAAGGGCTGCGAACAACATTGATGTGCATATTCTGCTTATGGTTGCAGTGCACCATGATTTGATTCTTGGGTGGGTTTTCCCATATGTAAAAAGCAATAGTAGACTATATCTGCATGTGTATGAGGTTTGTGTTGATTCTTATGTCTAATAATAATGTTACTCACAATCAATGTTCCCTCTAATTTCTTTTGGCAATGAGCAAATTTCAGGTCTGCTGAGTGCAAACTTGACGCGTTTACTGTAAACACTGAGGCTGTACCCGCTTTAAGTTACCGTTGTAACAGTGGTCAAGTAGGCTACTGTGGCTATTTGATCATAATGTAGGCCTACCAGTGTGGTCTACCAACAAAAACAATGGAGCAAATGCATCCCATAACATTTGAACATGGAAATAGCTGTTCTATCATTCAGCCTACATTAGCAGTCAATGTGTGGTCTTCAGTGTAGGCCTACATTTACATTTACATTTTAGTCATTTAGCAGACGCTCTTATCCAGAGCGACTTACAGAAGCAATTAGGGTTAAGTGCCTTGCTCAAGGGCACATCGACAGATTTTTCACCTAGTCGGCTCAGGGATTAGAACCAGCAACCTTTCGGTTACTGGCACAACGCTCTTAACCACTAAGCCACCTGCCGCGAAAAAAAACATTAACCTGTTTCTCCACTTGTCCTTCAGACAAGGAGGTGACTGAAAATGTTGTTGAGTTGTTGAGTCAAGAAACCACTTTACAAAATAAAATGCATCATTATTCCCATACCATTATTACAGAGAATCTGACAAATTATGCTACCCTCTGCCTATTGGCTACTTAGCTTATTCAAGCCTGTCTCAAAATACAACACTTCCCCTTTAAGACAAAAAAAAGCTCTTTAATTTACTCACTTTTCAAAGATGGCTAGAAATGCACACATTTTGTGCTTTTGTAGGAAGCAATCACTCCCCCATTTCTGAATACAAATGATCTATAACTGGGCTAATAACTCACTAACTAGCAAAGGATATGAACAAATGTGCACAGGTGGCTAGATGTAGCTCTTGCTTTGACCTCAAAACAAGCGCATCAACTCATTATCGCTCATGCTGTAAACACAGTCAAATTCAAAGTGAATGGCACAGATTCATATATGGCAATGGTCGATTTGCATATAGGCCTACTGCAGCTCTGATTGGTTATGGCGCACCGGTCTGTGTAGAGTACGGACCTGAGTGCCTGTCAATGCATGCAATAGAATCCTACTCCGATGTGTTCTGCCTACAACAAAATCTCTTGCATAGTTAATTTTTCACACTAAGTCTTGCATAGTTCGTTTTGTTTCGGTATGTTGCATTGAAACGTTGATAGTGAACTAATGGGGAAAACTCTAGAAAGTTGAGTGAAGTTCAATCTCGTGCTTCTCTGCGTGGGCTGATATTTCTTCTGTGCGGCAGTAACGGGCTGTGCACCGGCGCACTTGCGCAGCTTAGAGGGAACATTGCTCACAATATAATTTCACATTTTCACTTGGATAAATGTATCTTTGCAGGTGTGGATGTATTGCCGCCTATACAGGACAATGGAGCGCTTCAACAAGCCTGAGATCCTGGAAGCCGCCAAATCTGGTATGGGGGTTTCGGGTTTGGTGGTTGCACAGCATCCTTGTCACTGAAATGTTAAAGCATTTTAGAGTGGATTTCCAAGCACTTATCAGGTTGTTTAGATGTTGTGTCCTGTCAGCTTTGCAAGGAATTTCCCAACTAAGCATTAAGTAACAGCATTTAGCGCCAAGCTTTTTCCAAAGGTGGTAGATGGTGAAATGTTTTCTGTTAGTGATTAAGTTGATTAATGAGAGTCATTTAAAGAGGTCAGTATTCTGACTCATTTAACTGATGCAAAGTGCACAGTCTGTGACAAACTGAGTGAAGACAGTACTTAAGTAACAGAGGAAATAGCTGTTTTGAACCACTTAGTATGGTGTAGGCTACATACAGGATATGTGCAAATACAAAATCAAGGTGTCATGAAGACTAAAAACAGAAAGAAGCGCACCCAATGTTATTAACAGCATGAAGATACACACATTCCCAGTACATAGGTGAAGACACTCCAAAGATGTAATGAAACAGAAAAAACACCAATAGGATTTACTCCAATGTTAGTTTCAGGCTTTTCCGTATCTAGACCACACCGACCTTCTCCTATGAAACTAGTCTGGGCATGCAACAGCTTATATGCCTATAAAAACCAAACTCGTACTGCTTTTATAAACATTGAGTGATCCTCCTCTTTCCGGTTTGGTATTCAATGTGTCATCTAAACTTAAAAATGTATACCACATTTTTACTTGGCTGCAGAAAAACAAACAGATGTGAGGTAGTAACTGTTTGTGGTCTCTATAGGCATTTTGGTACAACATTCTAGTTGTGACAAGCAAACTTTATCGTTGTTGTTAATGTTGTTTTTATGTTTTCTTAGGGGGTGCATTCTTGCGACGCTTCGCTCGCATTCCCAATAGTGGCAGCCCATGGAAGTGTGCCTTTTGTTTGACCAGGGACGGTAAAGCCCTGAAAGTGCAGAGGACCATCTTCAGCGAGTGTTTCTATGTCATGGCCATGGATGAGCTGGCCAGGGTCACAGGAGACCAAGACATGCAGGTAAAACAGCCCGGGGCACTAAACACTTCCACAATAAAGCTTTCTGTTAAAGTGGCAATCTGATTGGTACAGCCATATTTGAACTTTTAAATTAATTACTAATAATTAGTTTAACTGTTGTAGCCCATGAGAACCCAAAATATAAGCTTGTTTTACTCCTTTAATTTAATTATAAACATACTATAGCCTCAAAACATGGTTAAAACTATAATTTTTTAATCATGGATGATCAGTTCTTCCATCCGTAGCGCTGTCTCTGAATTATAGACAGGTTACATTTCTCCAGCCCCATCCTTCCGCAGTTTTTTTATTTAATTTTTATTTAACCTTTATTTAACCAGGTAAGCCAGTTGAGAACAAGTTCTCATTTACAACTGCGACCTGGCCAAGATAAAGCAAAGCAGTGTGATAAAAACAACAACACAGAGTTACATATGGGGTAAAACAAAACATAAAGTCAAAAATACAACAGAAAATATATATACACTGTGTGCAAATTTAGTAAGTTATGGAGGTAAGGCAATAAATAGGCCATAGTGCAAAATAATTACAATTAGTATTAACACTGGAATGATAGATGTGCAAGAGATGATGTGCAAATAGAGATACTGGGGAGCAAATGAGCAAAATAAATAACAATATGGGGATGAGGTAGTTGGGTGGGCTAATTTCAGATGGGCTGTGTACAGGTGCAGTGATCGGTAAGGTGCTCTGACAACTGATGCTTAAAGTTAGTGAGGGAGATAAAAGTCTCCAGCTTCAGAGATTTTTGCAATTCGTTCCAGTCATTGGCAGCAGAGAACTGGAAGGAATGGCGGCCAAAGGAGGTGTTGGCTTTGGGGATGACCAGTGAGATATACCTGCTGGAGCGCAGACTACGGGTGGGTGCTGCTATGGTGGCCAATGAGCTAAGATAAGGCGGGGATTTGCCTAGCAGTGATTTATAGATGGCGTGGAGCCAGTGGGTTTGGCGACGAATATGTAGTGAGGACCAGCCAACAAGAGCGTACAGGTCACAGTGGTGGGTAGTATATGGGGCTTTGGAGACAAAACGGATGGCACTGTGATAGACTACATCCAATTTGCTGAGTAGAGTGTTGGAGGCTATTTTGTAAATGACATCGCCGAAGTCAAGGATCGGTAGGATAGTCAGTTTTACGAGGGCATGTTTGGCAGCATGAGTGAAGGAGGCTTTGTTGCGTTGCGAAATAGGAAGCCGATTCTAGATGTAACTTTGGATTGGAGATGCTTAATGTGAGTCTGGAAGGAGAGTTTACAGTCTAACCAGACACCTAGGTATTTGTAGTTGTCCACATACTCTAGGTCAGACCCGTCGAGATTAGTGATTCTAGTCGGGTGGGCGGGTGCCAGCAGCGTTCGATTGAAGAGCATGCATTTAGTTTTACTAGTGTTTAAGAGCAGTTGGAGGCTACTGAAGGAGTGTTGTATGGCATTGAAGCTCGTTTGGAGGTTTGTTAACACAGTGTCCAATGAAGGGCCAGATGTATACAAAATGGTGTCGTCTGCGTAGAGGTGGATCTGAGAGTCACCAGCAGCACGAGCGACATCATTGATATACACGGAGAAAAGAGTCGGACCAAGAATTGAACCCTGTGGCACCCACATAGAGACTGCCATAGGTCCAGACAACAGGCCCTCCGATTTGACACATTGAACTCTATCTGAGAAGTAGTTGGTGAACCAGGCGAGGCAGTCATTTGAGAAACCAAGGCTATTTAGTCTGCCAATAAGAATGAGGTGGTTGACAGAGTCGAAAGCCTTGGCCAGGTCGATGAAGACGGCTGCACAGTACTGTCTATTATCGATCGCAGTTATAATATCGTTTAGGACCTTGAGCGTGGCTGAGGTGCACCCATGACCAGCTCGGAAACCGGATTGCATAGCGGAGAAGGTACGGTGGGATTCGAAATGGTCGGTGATCTGTTTGTTAACTTGGCTTTCAAAAACGTTACCAACACAGTGGGGGGGTCACCACTTTGTTATTGTTTGAAATGCAGATTAGACTTCTGGGTTTGGCGAAAAGGGTCATGCATCAAAGACCCAATCAAATTTGAGCAGAATGGGGGCAAATACCTGCTAGCCAATCAGAACACAGAACCCTTAGTGGGTTTAGCCTGTATTATGGCCTATTTTATTTCTCATACGCTCTCGTTGTTACTAGGCGGAAGCAGCACAAATGATGGACCAGCTGGTCCACTGGGTCAGAGTGGACCCATCAGGCCTGGGCAGGCCCCAGCTTTCTGGAGACACCCCGGTCTGCAGCATGGCTGTCCCCATGATGCTGCTGTGTCTGGTGCAGCAGCTCACGGAGGGCCGCAGCGGGGAGGAGGTGGACAAGTACAGGGAGGTTGGAGGCTGGTGTGTAAAGCAGATCCTCCAACACCTTCAGGTACAGAACTGTAGTCCTACAAATATGAAACAATCAGACCTAGGTTCAAATATTATTTTTTTGGTTGAGTGTCTGATTGAGCCTGTTTGGAGTGTCAGATGGGTGGCGTTTGCACTTTTGGGGCGGTTCCATTGAATTGGAGGTAGGAAATAGAAAATGGATTTTTACTTGTCTATGACTGTGTCTTTGTACAGAGAGGTGGTACGGCCATTTTGGAAAGTGTCTCATCGGAAGGAAAGGAACTTCCTGGTTGCCAGGGGCGACTGCAGAACCCGGGTGATACCCTTTGTACTCAATTTAAGGAGGTTTCTCTAGATCAGGGCTGTTCAATTCCGGTCCTGGAGGGACGAAAACACTTCTGGTTTTTGTTTCTACCTTGTTTTTAATTGCACTCACCTAGTGTCCCAGGTCTGAATTAGTCCCTTATTAGAAGGAGAGGATGAAAACCAGAATTGTTTTGGCCCTCCAGGACCGACATTGACAGCCCTGCTCTAGATAATGTTTGATAAGCTCCATATTACTTATGTCAAGTCATCTAACATAGGGGTGTATATATTACAGTGTATTAGCCCTAATACTATATGTTTTCTGTTTTGTATAGTAGTGTAATAACACTAGTAACTTAGTCAGACTGAATACTTCACATGTAGGGATATCTAAGATGACCGGGTTGTTGCCATTGTATTGCCTGCCTGTTGTTTCTTTCCTTTATGGTTTCCTTATACCTGGTTTCCTTGTTTCCTTATATACTGTTGCCATAGGCCATGCTCTGGAAGCAGGCTGGTTCCTGCTTCAGTACGGTTTGGAGAATGGGGACCAGGAGCTCCAAAGGACAGCAGTGGACAAGTTCATGGAGGTCCCCTTTCTGACAGGCTGGGACAAGGAGCACGGAGGGCTCCTCTACTTCCTGGATGTGGACGGTTACTGCCCCACACAGGTACATACTGTGAAAGTAGATTTAATTTATTTCCTGTACGGGACCTCCTATGTGTGCACCAAAACATTTTATGGGCCTAATCATAGAATTACAGATAGAATCCCTATTAATTCAGAAGGATCTCTGTGGACCTAGTCGTAAAAGATTTGTCATTTAACTTTTATTACTTATTATTTTGGCATAAACACAACCCATCATTATGTTTTTTTATTTGATTGTCAATGTTTTACCGGTACGGCGTACCCCCACAATTTATTTTGCTGGGACGCCGTACTGGACCGTAAAACACCTTACTTTCACCCCTGCATACAACACTGCGCTTGCTGCTACTGCATGAGTCGTTCAACCAACTATAGCATAAAAATCAGTGCAGGAGACAATTGGCTGCTCAAACCCACACTCATCACAAAGGATTGAATGGGTGAAAGTAATATGGATGAAATGCCAACTGAGGTTCTCAAACCTATTGCTGTCCAGCCCTTTCAAGGCCTTTATTAATTGACTAAATAAGTGAACAAAGGACTATAGAAATGTGAACCAGGGCCATTGTGTTCTGTTTTCACAGTTGGAGTGGAGTATGAAACTGTGGTGGCCACACTGTGAGGCTCTCATTGCATACCTGATGGCCTACAGCCATACCAAAGAGCCAGCCCTGCTGGAGCGATTCTCTCAGGTGTACGACTACACCTTCAGCCATGTGAGTGGACTCCAGCGCCACATAAACAGTGGAGGACCGAATCTCCTCTTTGACAAAAATTATCTAAGTCAAAAAAAAAAAATTATGCTATTGTTCTGCTAGACAATAGCATGGAAATGCCATTAATATGGATGTCATTTTATATGTAGGGAATAAATAACACAAATATTTGATATTGCAGCTAAAAGTAAGCTAAATTGCTTGAGGAGCTAACATTTTTCAATATGGCGTGCTGTTTGTCTGCCTGTTTATGCAGTTTTCTGATGCTGAGAATGGCGAGTGGTTTGGATATTTGACCCAGCAAGGGAAAGTGACACTGGATTTTAAAGGAGGGCCTTTCAAAGGTGAGAATGTTAACAGGACAGAGAAAACATGACAGCCACAAATAAATGTACCTCCTGTAATTTGAGTCAATGCAGTGATGTATACATTGCTTTGATATGTGCTCAATCTGTAATATTTAATGTTTTGCATTTGTTTGTTTTTATGTCCAAATCACCCACTCAAGTGGATATAGTAAATCAAATGTGGTTGTATTTGTTTAAAGTGAATGCAAGCCTTCCTTTGCCCCAGCCAAAAAGGTGGTGGAGGCGCGACACTGTTCTCCATTAAAAATCTATTTTATTATGAATTAATTAAAAACAGACGTTTCGGTCATGGTGGACCTTCATCAGACAGGTTTCTTTCTCCCAAATAAATGCATCAGATCAAAAAATGTGACCTTGTGTACATCTGTGATTACACTGACAATTAATCTGCCATTCGTTTTCTTTCAGGTTTCTTCCATGTGCCTCGGTGCCTTTATATGTGCGAGAAAATCCTGGACTCTATACTGAACAAACAGGAATCCTGAGGTCACCAACTAGCATGACCTGGACAATGTAATTTTTAAAATCATATACACTGAGTGTACAAAACATTAAGAACACCTTCCTAATATTGAGTTGCATTTCCCCCTTTTGCCCTCAGAGCAGCCTCAATTCGTCGGGGCATGGACTCTACAAGGTGTCGAAAGCGTTCCACAGGGATGCTGGCCAATGTTGACTCCAATGCGTCCCACAGTTGTGTCAGGTTGGCTGGATGTCCTTTGGGTGGTGGACCATTCTTGATACACACGGGAAACTGTTGAGCATTACAAATCCAGCAGCGTTGCAGTTCTTGACACAAACCAGTGCACCTGGCACCTACTACCATACCCCATTCAAAGGCACTTAAATATTTTGTCTTGCTCATTCACCCTCTGAATAGCACACATACACAATCCATGTCTCAATTGTTTCAAGGCTTAAAAATCCTTCTTTAACCTGTCTCCTCCCCTTCATCTACACTGATTGAAGTGGATTTAACAAGTTTCATCAATAAGGAAGCAAAGCATTCACCTGGTCAGTTTAATGGAAATGTTTTGTACACTCAGTGTAGGTCTATATTAGACAATGGTGTCAATCTCCTGAGATTCTGGAGACAGTTTTGAAAGCAAAATTGCACTGATTATTGCATATGGTCTTAAAGTGAAGATGGCCTACATTTTATTAGTAACAGTGCATGGAAAATAAAATGGCTATAGAAAGAAAATAAATAGGGGACATACACTGCAAAGTTTTGTACTATGATGATTACATTACATCTGCTCAACTGTTTGTTGTATCAACTGTGTGTTGTAAGCCCATATGCTTAGCATCTTGAAATATGCAACATAGTTTAATAAATGAATCAAATCATAGGCAAATAAGGGAAATATTGTTATCACGTGAGGTCAATATAAAGGTGACCCAAAATCACTTTGTTATTTACCATAGAGAATATTGCAACAAGTTGTGTTATTGTGTGTTAAAGCCTGCACTGCAACTGATCTGAGCAGCACACTGTGACCCAGGCTCCCGGAAAGACAGAACATCACCATCTGTAACATCATTGTCAGGAGGTAATGTTCTGGTGTGCAGCTCTGCATCTCTCACCAAGAGAAGCTTAGACTGATTTCACATAATGGCGGCAAGGCCCTGGCTTAATTTGAAGTAGTGTTTGAAACTTAAAATCATTGGAACTTTGAGCGCAGCAAGCAGCACACCAAAATGCCCCAGAACTTTGCGGCTCATTTCAGCTAAATACTAGGTTTATACTGTAATTAATTACTTTTTTTATATATACATATATATTTAAAAGTTCTTGACATTTTCGGTATTGACTGACCTTCATGTCTTAAAGCAATGATGGACTGTCGTTTCTCTTTGCTTATTTGAGCTGTTCTTGACATAATATGGTATTTTACCAAATAGGGCTATCTTCTGTATACCTTGTCACAACACAACTGATTGGCTCAAACACATTAAGAAGGAAAGAAATCTCACAAATTAACTTTTTAAGAAGGCACACCTGTTAATTGAAATGCATTCCAGGTGACTACCTCATGAAGCTGGTTGAGAGAATGCCAAGAGTGTGCAAAGCTGTCATCAAGGCATAGGGTGGCTACTTCGATTTGTTTAACACTTTTTTGGTTACTACATGATTCCACACGTGGTCCTGTGTGGCTCAGTTGGTAGAGCATGGCGCTTGCAATGCCAGGGTTTTGGGTTCGATTCCCACAGGGGACCATTACGAGAAAATGTATGTACTCACTACTGTAAGTCGCTCTGGATAAGAGCGTCTTCTAAATGACGTAAATGTTAAATGAGTTATTTCATAGTTTTGATGTCTTCACTATTATTCTACAATGTAGAAAATAGTAAAAATAAAGAAAAACCCTTGAATGAGTAGGTGTTCTAAAACTTTTGACCGGTAGTGTATATATATATATATATATATATACTTTTTTTTTAACTGGGGAATTTGCCCTGGAAAAATCTAAAGGCCTCAGGATGAATGCCACCGAAATGCATAAGTGCCTTGATCGAGTCATCCTATCCGTATTATCTATCCTATAAATAAATATACATGTCCTCCCTTTCCTGTCTCTAACACACTTTCTAGAGCTAGCCTGTGTTTGCGTCCTGCAAACAATGAAAACCCTGTCCTGCAAGCTTCTAAAGAGGGGGAACAATTAAATAACTGAAATAACTAGAAAATTACATTCCCTGAAGAAAATGCGTGTGCTTGCTAGCTTGTTTTAAAGTATTTATAGTTTTGAAATAAGTTCTAGTAGTGGTTGTGACTGCAATAGTAATCTTAACTGGTTATAGTTGAAAAGGTAGATAGATGAACATATTGGTTGGTTGATTGATTGAGTTGATTGGTTGATTGATAGGATAGCCTGAACATGTGAAAGTTGGTTTGGTGTCTAGCTTGAACGGTTCCACAGTTACAAGTATTGTTGGTGGGTATTATATGCTAATTTTAGCCAATTTAAATAGTTATCATTTATCACGTTTTTGAAAATGTTAACATTGTTATTTTGTTGTTGTTGCTGAAATGGTTAAAGAACAGTAGCATTTAAAATGTCTACCACTGTGTTTGTATGTTTGGCATTGAATCCATGAAATGTTATGCTAATTAACATTGTTTATAGTTTATAAGGGTTTTAATGAATTTTCAGTTAGGATAGCCTGAACTTTTTAAAGTTAGACTTGTAGCTTTGGCCAAAGAGCAGGACCATTTTGAAGAGCAACCACTGAATACTTATAGTTGGGGCAGTTTCTTGGTAATAGCTTAAATCGTTTAAGCTCTAGAGTGGGCGGAAGAAGTCAAATAATACTAGGAAAGTACATTTCCTGAAAATAATGTGGTGTGCTAGCTAGCTTGTTTTAACCCCTAAAAGTCTAAGCCTTTGGTAAAATATTGAATTTGTCCTTGAAACACATTGACTAACACATTCATAAATGGCAAAACATAGTCAAAAATTTAATCATAAAGAATAAAGTTTTTTAGTGTCTGTCCTATATCTAGGAGATATAAGAACACTCAGGATTTAAAAAAATATATATATTGCCTTCAGCAAGCACACCTAATAATAATATTAAAACGTAAGAAATCTAGAGTTGTGCTTTGCCTTCAGCAAGCACACCTAAAGCACACCTAATAAAGAAAAGTACATTTCCTAAAGAAAATGTGGTGTGCTTGCTAGCATGTTTTAAAGTATTTATGGTTGTGAAACCTGCTGCGTAAATTCTCCTAAACCTGCTACTAAAAGTCAATTTGGACAAAAGCTGTATCCCTTCTAGACAAATCACACCGGATATTGTATATTGTCCCCGGAAGTGATGTTAAATTTTAGGAGCCGTCTCAAGTGGGGATTCAAGATCGTCAATGCTGTTAATGTTTTGATCTATTCTGTTCGCGCGCAGAGTTGGGTGGAGATGAGATAAATAGACTGAAACATTGATGTATTGATTAATAAATACCGTTTGAAACATACGGTTCTCAAGGAGCCTTGGGCACAAACTTGAGCGGAATTCTGAAGCCACTGACAAACTTGAATTATTCAATTTCTTGAACGTGCACCATGGTAACGTTTCGCGGAAGTGTAACGCAACAAAAAAGGAAATCGATTTAAGATAGCTAACGGAGAGTTTGGAAAGTGAAACTATTTTCCAGTAGAAAGTAGTGCCTACTAGTGATATAAATTAGGTGAGTTAGTTGACCAGGTTATTAGACAGTCATACAGGGCCAAATCAACGTAGCTAACGTTACTCTGAGCAGCACGATACCTCTAGGCTAGCTAACTTCCGATGGCGCAGCTGTCGTCAAACGACGTTACCACCAGACATTAGCTAGCTAGCCAACGACGTTACCAGTAATTTCGGTTTGCCATGAATGTGATTTATATAAATTGCAACAAGGGGTGCACGCTGCTTTTCTGCGCTTCACACTGAAAGGCAAGCTAACTCATTGGATAACGATGAATAACTTGAATATCGTGTCGTACAGTAGTCAAGGTAAAACAATGGCTTCTCAAGGCGCGTGTCTCAGGTAAGATTAAACTGACAAAATCTGATAATAATCTGTGTATCAAAAAAAAACATGTGAATTGGAATGATGGCTGGGGTCTTAAACTTTTGGAATAGATTACATCAATTTAATTGAAGAAAGGATTAGACTTTGTCCTTACATTCCAATTTAAACTATTAAAATAGTATTTGCTATCTGGAATCCTTTGGACGTAGACACCGGTAGACCGTGTCCTTCGCCCACGCCTGGCAGGCACGGTTTTTTCTAGCACACGGGAGGCGGGGGCGACACCGTGGGCTAGCTAGCTAACTAACAAGCTAACATACTAACAAGGTAGTTAGCACATGGTGTCGCCCAAGCCTACCGCCTGCTGTGTTAGTGGAACGCGGGGGTGACCGGAAGTGTTGAAAAAGTACCCCATTTTCATACTTGAGTCAAAGTTAAGTTATGTTAATAGAAAATTACTCGAAGTAAAAGTCACCCAGTAAAATACTACTTGAGTAAAAGTATTTGGTTTTAAATATACTTAAGTATATTTTAGCAATTACATTTACTTTTGATACTTAAGTATATTTTAGCAATTACATTTACTTTTGATACTTAAGTATCAAAAGTAAAAGTATAAACCTCAAATTCCTTATATTAAGCAAACCAGACGGCACTATGTTGTTTTTATTTACAGATAGCCAGGGGCACACTCTAACACTCAGACATAATTTACAAAGGGGGGGTTCGTGCAGATGCAGAAATGCCCACATGCAGGAACGCCCCGAATTGCGGACTGCAGTTCAAATCGCATTTTATTGGTCGCATACACATGTTTAGCAGATGTTATTGCGGGTGTAGCGAAATGCTTGTGTTCCTAGCTCCAACAGTGCAGTAATATCTAACAATACACACATCTAAAAGTAAAATCATGGAATTTAGAAATATTAGGACGGCAATGTCGGAGTCCGGTGTGTGTGTGTGTGCAATGGGATGTATAGACATTATAGCCAGTATGTGGATAGAATATGTAGTATATCTAAATAATTAATGGA